GGCATGCAATCAAAAAGCAGAGTGAACGCTTTGAACATTGAGATGTAGCTATTTTCCTGAAACCTCAAGATGGCTGAAAGAGGCCTTTACCTTAGTCATGACATGATGGTGACCAGAATAAAAGATTGCGTGCAGTTTTCAGATTTTGTTAGAATGTTGCTTTCCCCTACGTTTCTCTTAAATACCATAAACTAATGAAAGGAGGGAAATGGGGACACCTTCTGGACTGGCATCAGAACCCAGCATCCTTGGGCGTTTGATGCCCAGCAAGGCCCATCAATGATGCCTCTCCTAGTCCCCTCATCTTCAAACAGATTTTGGCAGGATACCCAAAGCAGTACGAGACAACTGGGTCTATCTTCCTTTTCTTTTCTCAGTTTCCCTTACAATGATGCTACCTTGGGGGCATTCTTTGAAATTAACATTTGCTAGGTCCATCTAGAGTGGTATTAAACTACCACATCCTGTCAGTGCATGGATTTCTGCTTGCGCAGTGGGACTTGCCTCCCTCTCCTCCCCTAATACCCCAGCCCCCAAACCTGCTCCAGTGGGTTGGGGGAACAGATTTGGGGGAAGTGTTGTGGGGAGAAGAAGAGAAGAGTCCATTGCTTAAGCAGAAATCCTTGCACTGACTGAAGATTCGCGTAGTGGTACATTGGATACCACCCATAGGGAAGAATTCAGTGTCTCACTATGTTCTGTCCACCAGCATTGTAGCTTGCCAAATGGAACAATCTCCTCTGCATGCTGTTCTGGGGTTTCTCCCGCCCCTGGCCCGTGAACTAATTGTAGAGGAAGGGGGCGGGGCATGCCAGGAGAGGAGGTGGGAATGCCCCGTTGCACAAGTGGAAGTCCTTAGGTGGGCTTCCACTAACAGAACTCATCAGTTGAATTCCACCCTTACGGTTTTCAGTACATAGTTACAGAGGATTTTGAGGGACTGCAATGCACAGATTTGCTTGACTCTGTTTTTACTAAAAAATAAAAATAAAATTGAAATGACGATAGGAGCCTGTCCTTCATAAATAATAATAAAACGATGGTCCGCTCCAATCTGTGCACTTTCTTGACAGCTTTGAATTTCAACAGCTGGTGCAGGTCCAAGTGAAGGCGAAATTTTTCCAAATGTGGAAGATTTTAATAGTGTCTCTAGATAAATGAGAAACTGTAATCCTTATTTTTCCATGCAATATTTTTGTTGAGCGCAGGCAGAGAACAGGTCAGAGAAGACTGAACGTATGGTTTTCAAATCCTCGTAGACCATAATCCTGTGAATAAATCAGGATGACTCATTAGCTGGAAAGCAGTGCAGGATGTTTTTGCTGAGGCAAACAGCTATTTCTGTATCAGGCTGTTTATGTTTTCAAAAAACCTGATAATATTTTTAATGACCTGGGTTGCTGAAATGTCTCATGGCCTTTTACACACTTCGAGGCTGAAATCTAATGCTGCTTTAAGGTGGCTTTTGCACATGTCTCAGAGGCAAATGGCAGCAGAAGAAGCGTGAATCACTCAAGCGCTCTGTTTAACCACATCCATATTCTTGTGTTCAGGGAGGAAAACAGAGAGATCCTTCCAGGTATGATACGCATTTTCCAGATGGATAGGTAGAATTATGCATCTTCTCTGTGTGTGCGTTGTACACATTGTCCCTTCAGATGAGAACCTCCCTTGGGAGATGGGAGTGGAAGTATGAGTCAGTCTTTCTTCTCCTTTCACCATTTCTAACGAACATTCAAAGAGACACTGAAGCTGAAGGTATATTTATTATTAAATTATTAAAAGTGTCTCTGCTTATCTTTCCAATCCAATAGATGGCACTCAAGGCCTCCTTTCATACATTTGATGCTATTAGCTGGCACCAATGGCAAGCTTAAAGCACAAGATGTGATAAGGTTCCCTATGTCTGTGTTTTGACCAATGACAAGCTGCCATAGATAATTAAATCTTATCACTTTCCAGCCTGGTTTTTAATTTGCTGCAGTTTTCTGAGGGAGCGATTTGTGTTAACCTACAACTGGTCCACACAAAATAAGACAGGCATGGATGCCTTTTAAAGCAGCTGTCTCTGTGTAGCATGTTGAAGCTTTTCCCTTTTCATTTTAAGGCTATGGTGACATTTTAAAAAAACACGCTACCCCACCCTGAAGTATGCAGCAAATTTCTATGTGTTGCCATTGGGCTGCCACAGGAAACAGTCTTTAAATGACCTTCATGTTGTGGTAGCCCTAACACGTTTCTTCTCTTGCATTATTACATTACCCTGTGGATTAATGTGAAGACTCGCCTTGAAGTCTTGGTTGATGAAGATAGGCTAGTTGGAGGAGCTAGATGCTCACATTACCTCTGGGTCTCTATCTGTTTTGTTGCTAAACATATCTCCTTAAGTCATCAGGAGTGTTGATCCAGTATCCTCCGGTAACATTCATCCCCCCCAAAATAACAGATCCATTCAGTATCTTATGCTGAGGGGTATGTTAATATTTATCAAATGCATTAAGTGACGCTGTCCATTTGTTAGAGTGCTGAATCTGGACCAGTTTTATTGAGTTCTGGCTCCAATTGGTTTACTGATTGACTATGTACATTGATTAAGCAATATGTTCTACAGCCTTGCTTCCCATATGGAAAAGAGAAATTTTAATGACCACCTCACAGCAGTGTTTCATTCATTCTTGTAGTATTCATTGGAAAATGCTTTACATTACAGAAGTGCAATGAAAGAATAAAGAAAACCCTGCATTTTTGCTCAAGTAAACACGTTTTCCTCCCCGCTCCCCTTTACAAAAGAATCACAAGCCCTGCAGATTATTCAGAGTAGCACAGATGGAAAGAATAATTTAAAATATTAGCAAAATTTACAAATAATTATCGGAAGCAGGCAGGACATGAAAGGAGCTCAGAACTCAGCACTGCATTTGATAGAAAACACAAGAATATAATACGTTACAGTATTGATTTTAGTTTTGTCTATAACGGATTTCCAATGGATTCTATTATTCAGTTGAAATGTTAGGTATTTGCAAATGAATGAACTTTGTTTGTCGAGGATTTATTGCAAATGAAATTAGAAGCTGCAGCATTTTATAAAGTGATACTGAGTAGTCCTTAGTCTGAATCCATGCTTGAGCTTTCCCTTAACTGGGTGGCATTATCAGAAAAGACTACATAAGTGTCCAGTCTGAGCAAGGTGTCTGCTCTCAGTTCTTGGATACAGCAACAAGGTTGTAGAGCAAACAGACAAGGATAAGGCTAGAGCAAGCCAGGTCTGAGGGGCCAAAGGTAGAGGCATAATCAGTGCAAGGGACATGGATAAACTAGGGCTAGGACAAGGCACTCATCACAAAAAAAGTTGTTTGGACTGATGGGGCAGCTCTCAGGCCAGACCATTATAGGCCCAGGTGTGCAGGCATTGATTGACCTGTCAATTCAGCTGACAGCTAATTCAGTCTAGCTGGGGCTCATGCCCTACAGTTAGGGCTTAGCCTCACTTACCCCTTGCCCCACTCTTTCCAGGCACTGGTTCGTGCTTAAAAGCTCCATGTCCAAGCTTTTTTTAAAAAATGCTTGAGAACTTTCCCCACAAAAAACTGCTTTTTAGTGCTCCATTGGAGCAAATGTCAATTCAGGTTTTTTGCTGATTTCCTGGAAAAAGTGGAGGAAAGGTAAGTGTGGAGAAGCCCTTCATCTGCCTGGTTCAAGACCTCCTTTCCTCAGTGCCTTGCAGTAAATGAAATACTTTCTGAGATCCCACAGGATCATCTTGGTCCTTGTGATACTTTTCCTGATTTGCAGTATACACTCAAGTTGAGTTTCTAACATTGTGGTCTTAACTCCCAAGCATTTGGAGTGATTGGGCTTTTCAATTTCCTTTTTACCAACCTCCTCATTTGGGGGGCATTTCCTCTTTTGAAATCAAATGTGACCTTGTTGGATTTCCTTGGTGACCTAGCCATTTACATGTATATTTAATTTTACAGCTTAATGGTCACTGTTCCCCATTGACTCAACAATGCTTAAATCTTGCACCAAGTCCTGTATGCCACTCAAGATTAAGTCTAGGGTCACTGTCCTTCTGGTCAGTTCCAACACCAACTGTTCTGGAGCACTGTCATTTAGAATACCTAGAATTTTTATCTCTTTGCCATGACTAGAACACATATGTAGCCAGTCTATGTGAGGGTAGTTGAAGTCACCTGTTACTACAATGTTCCACTTTTAGACACTACATTGATTTCATTCATCATCTCAAGGTCTCCTTAAGCATTTTGCCACTGACCTAGCAGCTGCCATTTTATTCTGAATTGTAATTTTATTGCCCCTCCCCTTTTTACACCACCTTGTGCATGAAAGGTGTTACAGATATATTTCAGAAAAAATAAATACGGTTACTGATTTTTTTCTGATACTGTGTTTTAGAGCACAGGAATCATTGAGCCAAAAGCAAAGTGAATAAGGATTTCAGCAAAACTTTGCATTTTCATCTTAGGCACAGGCGCTGATGTTGAAGATCCTCAAGTGAAAGACCCGGGCAAACACACCCCAAAACAGACAGACAACTCCTTTTAAAAGGAGTTATACAACCTCCACCCCCCCACCTTAAATACAACAAGAAAAGGAAGCAGATAGATCACTGCAGTGAAAACAAGCCTCTCTTGCCTGGCATAAAAGTAACTAGGGAATATTGGAGACAGCTTTATGCTGATCTTTAATGTACCCATAAGAGCAGGCTCAGAAGCAGGAAGTTCTTAACTACTCAATCCCCAAGAAATATTTTAAAGAGTAGATGCCTAGATTGAACTCATTCTTATAAAACCTGGTGCTTTAGCACTAACCTGAAAGGCTCTCACATCCCCCTAGCAATACTTTGTGCTGCTGTGAAGGGAGGCCTGTTTCACACACAGCCCTAGGTTTCTCCACAAGACCCTCCAAGCAATGATTTTAAGCGCTGAGAAGAGGTAAGGTGCCATTGAAATGAAATTGTGTTTTACTCTTTGTAGACAGGAAGGTTGCACGCTCCCTCTCCTCCAGCAGCATGCCATACAGCAGCGAAAACGACTCCGACCGCGAGATGGGAAAGCGAGGCCGCAAGCGAGAGAAGACCGACAGACATTCAGGGTATGAAAGGGAAACCGCAAAGACCCAAAGAGAGGAAGGCCAAGGAATCGACGTGAAGGAAGAGCCGGACATGGGGGACGCCACCAGCAAAGCAGCCAGAGACGTGCCACACACCTCTCACAAAGTCAGGAAGGCAAGAAGGCAAGACTCAAGTCCAGGCAGTGAGGAAGGCAAGGTTGTAGGTTCGGTGCACAGGAGTGTGAGGGACGACAGGGAGAAGGATGTGTTAGGGCATTCTGAACACAGCCGTCGAGCAGAGACCAGAAGCAGGGGACCTTCTGAAGATGAGGATGAAGGTGGTAAGTATGGTCTGCAGTCAGAACTCTGATGGGTCCATTGCATACAAGTGTGTGGCTTTGCTTGTTCTTGACTGACTGCATCTTTTTGCATTCTAAGCTTTGATAATGGCACGTGAAACACAACATTGTATGTTAGAACGATGTGATTCCCCCCTCCCACCCTCAGTTTACTGTGTGTGCCAAATTGCTGGCAGTGTCATGCTCTGAAACGTCTGTGCCATGCTATTGTTTTGGGTGCTATAATTGTGGTCTGTGTGATTTAACATGTAAGGCTTTGGCGAGCTTTCCTCTTGTCTCCATCACTATCATTTGTGTGGCATTTTGTGACAGCTGAATTTATTACTTTCCTCGATGGAAAAGGGAGACAAGCAGGTGAAATGGATCTGAGATCAAGCAGTGCCCAAACTTGATTGCCATCCCGTCTGAAAGCACAGCTGGAAAGGCTATTTATCAACATAGGGAAAAACAATTGCACCAAACGAAGTTAATCAGTGCATTCTTCTTGTAGGTTCAGAGACCTAATGACATCTAAACCACATCTTTGTGTGCTTTTATTATTTGGAGTGATGAATATGTGAGAGACGAGATAAAAGTTTCTGTTCCACCTTTTTTTATTGTGAGATTATGGACAACTTTCATAGCTTTAAACTTAGCAAATTAAAGATAGGAGTATAGGAGTCTGCCTTATATCCGGTCAGACTATTCATCCTATCCAGTATTACCTACTCTGACTGCCAGCGACTCTCCAAAGCCTTAAGCAGAGGTCATTCATATCACCTGCTATCTGACCTTTTAAACTGGAGATGCCAAGAATTGAATTTGGGGCCTTCTGTACACAAAGCATGTGCTCTATCAACAAGCTATGGTATGGCCCCTCCTCTAAAACCATATATATAATTATTATTATTTTGGATCATAAAATGCATACTGTTTGCACAATCAATTCCTATTTTCTCTGGGTCTAAACCCCTTGGAGGGAAAGAAACAATTAAGTTTGTGTAGTATTATTATTTTTAACTGTAGATCATAGTGAAATCATTCTAGTCACTTAATATCAACCCATAGTGATGCAGACACGAAAGAAAGCCATAAGTCATGCTAATTCTTCTGAATTGTATTTTTATCTGCAATCATCTGGTGGTGAATTATACAGTGATCTTGCTTCCTATTAATAGACATTGATGGTTTATTTCTTATTGCTTTGTGCTGTTCAATGGAATAGTTTGGCATGTGCAGAACGTTATGAAAATTGGAATGGTTTGCAAACATCTTTGGGCTGGGTTGCTTTTCATTGCCTTGCAATTTGTTATGTATCTAACACGGAGGAAAATTGAAAAAAAGAAAGAGCGAAAAGTACAGTTCTGGATGATTATGCTGAATTATTTATGGGTGTTTTAGTTGTTTGAAATCTTTCCCTTCATCCATATGCTGGATTCTCAATGTGAGCAACTTCCCAATTAGACTGTTAGATGAGATGAATATTTAAGTACTGTTGAAGAATGAAGTTATTAACCACTTAACAAGTACACACATAGGATTAAGTGCTCTAATACAAAATGGAAGCATGGAGTAATCATGTGGGTTGAGTTAATGGCCTGCCACAGATTTTAGTGCAGAAGGGTATCATCATTTCTGTTTAGCTCAGATTTCTGAACATGGTAATTAAACAATTGTTTGATAGTCCTGGATCTGAATTAACATAGCATTTAGCAGAGGATGTCTCTAGACTCTATTGCTGTGGTAGCTGGAGGTGTTGAGATTTTTGCCTGGCTACTGAAATTATCTTCTGCCTCTTCCTTTTTTTCTTTCTTTTTTTGCTAAAAGTTTTTTTTTTTTTTTTTGGTAGTCTGCTGAATATCTGCTTGAATAGGGTTGATCATGGCAGATATAGGGGGAGACGAAAGAAAAGCAAAAGCAAAAACAAAACCTGTTCAGTGGACTTTATTTTGTAGCAAGAAAGAGAAACCCCCCTATAGAAGCAGGCTTCCATGTATGTTGAGGGCGCTGGTGTCCATTCTGGATGAGCATTTGGATCTACATCTACATATTGTGAGCTGCCTTGGGTCCTATACTGGTAGAAAGGCAGGACTGAAATAAAATAAAATAAGTACAGCTCAGTAATAACAATAATATTAATAATTTTATTATTTATACTCCACCCATCTGACTGGGTTGCCCCAGCTACTCTGGGTGGCTTCCAGCACATATAAAAACATAATAAGACATCAGTCATCAAAAACCTCCCAGTACAGGGCTGCCTTCTGATGTCTTCTAAAAGTTGTATAATTATTTGTCTCCTAGACACATCCAGACCCTTCCGCCACTGGTTGTAGGCAGCATGACTAGAATGGGATAGGTGCCAGTGTGTGCATAATTTATTGCAGCATCAAGCCTCTCACTACAATGACCTACCTGTTTCACCCACACTGCAGAACTGGAAGAAAACCATCCTTACACACCAAGTGGTTTAAACTCCTTGTGTACAAGACTTGTAAACAAAGCAGTGCTGGCGAGCGTTCAGCTCCCTATGGGGCTAATGAGGTGTGTACACCTAGGCAGAACCCATCAGGCTTCCTATTTTAAAAGAAACCTACACTAATGCCAGAGAGCTTTGCAACTTTCAGCAGTGATTTCTTTTTATATACATGTCGTTTTGGAGACGAGAAGAAGAAAAAAATATTCTGTTTCTGTTTCGGGAATAGTGGTTGCTAAGCTAATAGGAATGCAATATTAATAATACATACTCTGTTAAGAACAAGTGAAATGTAAATAAACTTTATTGCATAAGCACTGAGGTTACAATGAAAATATTAGCACAACTTTAAACTGTGTCATGGCCTAATAAGAATGTGGTGGAAATGTAGCAGAATAGGACATGCTGCTTCTCATGCGTTTAGGAATATCAAATGTTTGTTGAAGCATGGGGATTTGCATTCGGATCTGCCCATGCATCAAAATGAGATGAAGCTCACAAGCTATTTAACCTGTTTAGAGAATTGATGGAATCATTGGAATTGCATCTGGAAACTTAGTATTCAAAAATGTCCTGAGTTTATCTGCAGGTTTTCTATTGTCTTGTTATTTTGGTTTGTGTGCAAATTAAAAATATTTCTGAACAAAAAGATCACCTTATGATCTGGTGGTATTTTTTGTAACTTGTGTGTTGTAGTTGTAGTAGTAGTAGTGGCAGTTGTTTTGTATTGTAGAAATTCCACTGCATGCAATTTTAATATCTGATAGATGGGATGCTATTTGCTTTATGTATGTGTTTAATGCATCCATGTGGGTGACATGGATTTTAAGTGGCATCCTTAATTGCTAGTAGAGTAACCTGTAAGCGAATGTGTGATCAGCATTTCCCCAATTTCTCTCTTTTGCTCCCTGTTTTGTGATTGTTGTGCTATTTTTTGAAGATGGCAAATCTGTCAAAGAGAAAATAGCTGAGGCCATGGAACATGATCGACTTTTGAGTTCTGAACCTGAACCAAGTGACTCCAGTACGGAGGATGAGGAGGAGGAGAGCATAGCTAAGAAAGATAAATATAAAGGAGATAAACATAAAGGTAAAATCAAATGATAAAGCCTTAAGTGCCACAACCCATTCCAATACTAGTTGATCTTTATTCTTTTATTTTATACTCTCATCTCATCCTTCTTTTCATTTCCTTCATTTTGTAGTTTTGATTGTGTCTGAATAACTAGCAACAAGAAGGTTGCTTGTTTAGGTTGTTTGGAGGCTGGCTTGTGTGTTTGAGTGTTTTTGTGTGCTTTGCCATGTCTGATACAGCAGATTTCTTAAATTCTGAAAGCTGCACTGATCAGACTTGAACCACCAGGTTAGAACCTTTTAACTAGTATTCCCATTAAGGAAGAGCAAGCAAGCACCAAAAATGTTGCCTTCTGCTAGATGGTATGGGGAGATGTGGAGCAGAATCAACAACACATGTCCTGCAATGTCTGGTTTGAGCCTTAATTACCCAAATTCTACTTGAAAGTCTTGGCCTACGTGATAGGTAGGCATGTGCTTGATTAGACTAATGGAGGAGGATAAAGAAGAAAGCTTTTGATGTTTCCTCCTACTTCACACTATACTGTACAAATTTTACAATTTTCATAAACAATTTTGTCACTAGGGAAATGGTGGTTTTTCCTAACAATACTGCTTCACTCCCCTCACTACCTCCCTTGACCTTCTGGCTGAATTATAACCACTCTCTCCAGCTCTATTCCCCTCAGATGCAGCTTTTTGATTCCAGGATTTGTCTGGTATGATTGCATTGTTCATTGAACATCACACATAAGGGCATAGATGGATGCCATCAGCACTTCAGCTCCTACAATTTTTCCTGCAAAGTGTTTAGATTATACAAGCATACAAGTCAGGAAGAAACCATTTCTCTGTATAGATGTCAATATGATTCTTTCCACTCCTTTATATCCTTTAACATTTTAGAACATAATTTATCAAACATAGTTTATCAAGCATAATTAATAACATGTAGGCTTGTGAAGTATCTCCCAGGTTGATGACAACAGCTCCAATTGGAAAAATAAACTTAGGCTACAGCCTATATACCCTTTGCTGGGTAGAAAATTGGACATGCATAGGATTGGACAGCCAGTTCCACTACTGAAATCAATGAGAACAGTTAATCCCAACCTGCATAAATTTCATTAGTATCAAATGCACTTTGCACAATGAGTCTTTTTTTGATCAGGGTGTGGAGTAGTGCTCCCCTTTCTTTTGATACTGGGGTCCCAGTTGTTTTTTGAGCACTCCATTCCCACTCGTGTGTGTGTGTGTACGTGTCAATATGTATATGCTTGATTTAATGGCTGCCAGATGCCTTTCATCTCTGCAATGCTATCATTCAGCAACTCTTCACTTGGTATGGAGATCTTCTGCAAGATGAACTTGCTGTCTGAGTATTTATATTCCAGTTTCAGTGACATGGCTAATCTCTTTCAATATCTGTTCATGGGCAAGGCTATTGGGAAAAGAAGGGTTGACTGACAACTTTCTGCTTATATAGAAATTGCTGCTTCTAAAAAATGTGGGAGGGGGCAGAAACACGTGGCAGTTTCTTAAGCAAGACAAAATGGGTCAAAGCAGGAGAAGGCTCCCTCCTGCATTATTGTGCCTTGACCTCTATAGAACCATGTGGGTCCAGAAAACTAACATGTCCAGTGTATTCCCATGAGGTAGCTTCCTTCACACATCAGTCCCTCATGGGTTAATCCACACAATCTAGCCCACAAGTTGTCAGTGCAGAATCTCATCAGATGATTCACAATGGCTAAGCCAAGCCATTCTCTGCAAGGAAGGTTGAAAAATATGACACCTTTCATTGCAATGTTTTTTTTTTAAAGAAAAAGCCCAACCCAACACTGATAGAGTTATCACAATTACAACTCATGCTGTGCTTATTTTAATAGTGCCAGATGGAGCTACCTTGGCAAAAGAATCGAGAGCGCTTGAATCACAGAAGGTTGCGGGGCAAGTGGAACATGCAAGACAGATGGTGGGCAAGGAAAGAGCACTTGACGAAGAGGAGCTTTCTGATGAGGAAGGCCCTGAAGAAACAGCTTTGGGAGAAGAATTGCGAGGCAAAGATGTAACAGCTCGCAAAGCAAAACGAGCAGGAAAAAAGGAGCTTGCAGCAGAACTGGAGGAAGAAGCAGTAGTAGAATCAGATTTGGACAATGCCGAAAAAGAAGTCATGCATCAGGAAGGAAAGGCAGCTGGGAGAAAGGCAAAAGCAGAGAAAAAGCTCAAAAAACCAAAGAGTTCTCTGGGGAAGGGAGAGAAAACACAAGATGAAGAAGAAGCTTTGGGAGATGATATGGAAAGTAAGGAAGGCAAATTATTGAAGGGAGGTGTGAAGGACAAGACATATGTGAAAATCCAGCTGGAGGATGGTTCGTTTGTGGAAGCAGAAGACATGGCTCCGGGGTCAGACCTTGAAGGGGTTGTCTCCACAGATGAGGAAAAAGCAGCTGTTTCTGGAGCCCTAGTATATGGCGGCAAAGGTGTCAGACAAGGAGTTTCATCTGAAATGGAGGAAATAGTCCAAGACATTTCAGGCCTGTGGGGGGGTGAGACCAAAAAATCATCTCTAGAAGTGAAACAGAAGAAAAGAATGTCTAGAGATGAAGGTTCAACTCAACAGAAACTAGCACCTCGGGTGGGTGAACCCTTTTCGGAAAGTGAGGCTGAGGGCGTCGTTTCAGCAGCAGAAGATGAAGAAATGAGAGACCAGGGAGCAAGAGTAATACGACAGGCAGGGAGGTCAGCAGGCAAGCCAATTTCAGAAAGAAGGGCTGGAGGAAAACCACACTTAGAAGTGAGAGAGAAGAAAAGAATATCTAGAGATGAAGGTTCAGCTCAAGAGGAACTAGAACCTTGGGAAGGTGAACCCTTGTTCGAGAGTGAGGCTGAGGGAGTCATTTCAGGAGCAGAAGATGAGGATACGACAGCCCAGGAAGCAAGAGTAATACGAAAGACAGAGAGGTCTGCAGTCAAGCCAAGTTCAGAAAGAAGGGCTGGAAGGAAAACACACGTAGAAGTGAGAAAGAAGAAAAGAATATCTAGAGATGAAGATTCAGCTCAAGAGGAACCAGAACCTTGGGAAGGTGAACCCTTGTCGGACACTGAGATTGAGGGGGTTGTTTCAGCAGCAGAAGATGAGGATACGACAGCCCAGGAAGCAAGAACAATACGAAAGGCGGATAGGTCAGCGGTCAAGCCAAGTTCAGAAAGAAGGTCTGGAAGGAAAACGTATCAACAAGAGAAGAAAAGAATATCTAGAGATGAAGGTGCAGCTGGACAGAAACTGGAATCTGAGGTGGATGAACCCTTGTCGGACATTGAGTCTGAGGAGGCCATTTCTGGAGCAGAAGATGAAGACACAACAGCCCAGGAAGCAAGAGTAATACGAAAGGCAGAGAGGTCAGCAGTCAAGCCGAGTTCAGAAAGAAGGGCTGGAAGAAAACCACACTTAGAAGTGAGAGAGAAGAAAAGAATATCTAGAGATGAAGGTTCAGCTCAAGAGGAACTAGAACCTTGGGAAGGTGAACCCTTGTCGGAGAGTGAGGCTGAGGGGGTCATTTCTGAAGCAGAAGAAGAAGCCCAGGAAGCAAGAATAATACGAAAGACAGAGAGGTCAGCAGTCAAGCCAAGTTCAGAAAGAAGGGCTGGAAGGAAAACACACGTAGAAGTGAGAAAGAAGAAAAGAATATCTAGAGATGAAGGTTCAGCTCAAGAGGAACTAGAACCTTGGGAAGGTGAACCCTTGTTCGAGAGTGAGGCTGAGGGAGTCATTTCAGGAGCAGAAGATGAGGATACGACAGCCCAGGAAGCAAGAGTAATACGAAAGACAGAGAGGTCTGCAGTCAAGCCAAGTTCAGAAAGAAGGGCTGGAAGGAAAACACACGTAGAAACGAGAAAGAAGAAAAGAATATCTAGAGATGAAGGTTCAGCTCAAGAGGAACCAGAACCTTGGGAAGGTGAACCCTTGTCAGACACTGAGGGTGAGGGGGTTGTTTCAGCAGCAGAAGATGAGGATACGACAGCCCAGGAAGCAAGAGTAATACGAAAGGCAGAGAGGTCAGCGGTCAAGCCAAGTTCAGAAAGAAGGGCTGGAAGGAGAACGCATCAACAAGAGAAGAAAAGAATATCTAGAGACGAAGGTGCAGCTGGACAGAAACTGGAATCTGAGGTGGATGAACCCTTGTCAGACATTGAGTCTGAGGAGGCCATTTCTGGAGCAGAAGATGAAGACACGACAGCCCAGGAAGCAAGAGTAATACGAAAGGCAGAGAGGTCAGCAGTCAAGCCGAGTTCAGAAAGAAGGGCTGGAAGAAAACCACACTTAGAAGTGAGAGAGAAGAAAAGAATATCTAGAGATGAAGGTTCAGCTCAAGAGGAACTAGAACCTTGGGAAGGTGAACCCTTGTCGGAGAGTGAGGCTGAGGGGGTCATTTCTGAAGCAGAAGAAGAAGCCCAGGAAGCAAGAATAATACGAAAGGCAGAGAGGTCAGCAGTCAAGCCGAGTTCAGAAAGAAGGGCTGGAAGGAAAACACACTTAGAAGTGAGAGAGAAGAAAAGAATATCTAGAGATGATAGTTCAGCTCAAGAGGAACTAGAACCTTGGGAAGGTGAACCCTTGTCAGAGAGTGAGGCTGAGGGAAGTCATTTCAGGAGCAGAAGATGAAGACACGACAGCCCAGGAAGCAAGAGTAATACGAAAGACAGAGAGGTCAGGAGTCAAGCCGAGTTCAGAAAGAAGGGCTGGAAGAAAAACACATGTAGAAGTGAGAAAGAAGAAAAGAATATCTAGAGATGAAGGTTCAGCTCAAGAGGAACTAGAACCTTGGGAAGGTGAACCCTTGTCGGAGAGTGAGGCTGAGGCAGTTGTTTCAGCAGCAGAAGATGAAGATACAACACCCCAGGAAGCTAGAACAATACGAAAAGGCAGATAGGTCAGCGGTCAAGCCAAGTTCAGAAAGAAGGTCTGGAAGGAAAACGTATCAACAAGAGAAGAAAAGAATATCTAGAGATGAAGGTTCAGCTGGACAGAAACTGGAATCTGAGGTGGGCGAACCCTTGTCAGAGAGCGAGGCTGAGGGGGTCATTTCAGCAGCAGAAGATGAACATACGACAGCCCAGGAAGCAAGAGTAATACGAAAGGCAGAGAGGTCAGGTGTCAAGACAAGTTCAGAAAGAAGGGCTGGAAGAAGAGCAAGACATGAAGGCGTGGTGGCCAGTGCAGAAGGTGCAGTGGAGGAAGAGGATCTGATTGAAGAGGAGGGTGAGGAAGTTGAAGAGGGAGGGACCGAAGTGATAATGGGATCTGGAGTGGCAGCACCTAAACAGAAACAAAGAGTAGGAAGAAGGAAGACAGAGGCAGAAGGAGGAGAAGTGGATTTTGAAGAGACAAAGGCAGGGAGAAAGGTGGCAATTAGAATGAGGACAGAGGCTGAAGTTTCAGGGAAAGAGAGAGAAAGGGGGTCTCTGTCCATGGCACATGAGAAGGAAATAGTCCATGGGATGACCATCACAGGAACCCCAAGGGTAGCTGGTGTGACAGAGGCATCACACCTATCCGAGCCATTCACACAAAAAGCAGCATTAGCAGAAGGAGGAATGGGCAGTAAAGTCAGCTTCCAAGATGAAGTGGAAAAAACACCAAAAGAGACTGTGGCCGGGAAAATGTCACCTGACCTGGAGGTGCAGGTAGAAGATGCAAGCGATGAAGTAGAGAAGGAAGAGGAGGCATATTACACAGGAGAACCAACGATAACACTGCGAGATGTGGAGGAAGCTCTGTTGGCAGGGATGCAGAAGTTGATAGAACAAGTATCGTTTATGAGCGAAGAAGTGGAGGAGGAAGAGGAAGAAGAGCCTAAAGAACTTGAGGGGGAAGTTTCAGTAGAAGAGACTCAAATGCTGTCTCACAAGGAGGAGGCTGGGAGGAAAGAAGTTTTTGCAGCTGTAGTAAAAAGAAAAACATGGGGTGCTCAGAGCGACAAAGCCATGGAAGCAGGTACTGAAGAGCCTGTGGAGGAAAAATATAGAAACGAACAGAGGAGAACAGGAGAGGAAGAGTCTCCAGCAGAAAATCTGCTGGTGAAAGAAATTGTTCCCAGCAATGCACAACAGCCTGAAGGACAGCCGCCAGTAAACTTCACTTTGCAAATGATCAGCCTAGAATCTTCTCGAACATCTGACTAAGAAGAAGGGGACTAGGAATGAAGGTAAGAGAGAGAGAGAGAGAGAGAGAGAGAGAAATGGCCCCAATCCAAAGAGTTGCTTTAGGCCTGCCTAAGTGTTTGCATTAGCCAATTAGCCATACATGTGTGTGTTTGTGTGACTTTTCTCCTTTGAATGGCAAACACTCATCTACAGGAAATAATAATAATAATAAAAAAAGCCTGTCTTTGAAACTCACCTTACTTCGTTGCCTCCATAGCTATAGCTCTGGAGCAGAGTGCATGAGCCAGCTAAAGTTCCACCTTTCTTGACACTAATTTCACTGGGGAGAGTTGAACATGCACTTACTCATTTACTTGTTACAAATCAATAGGAGTTTAAAGGTGCTTGATTTGACCTTACATGGCTGGTTTTTAAAAATAATAATAAAATACCACACAGACCTCCATCTCCTTGGAGGAATTTGGAGCTGTTTGCATATTGTTTGGGCTGGGGGCTCCCTTCAGGACAGCTTATGGGGCCAGACTGCTTAATGGCTGCAATAGAACTGCTCAGTTTTCCTTCAGACCATTTTATGGGCATATGTGTAGTAGGCTAAAATGACAAGTTGGGAAAATATATATATTTTTTTACACAGTTTTCTAAACGATTCAACCCAGTTCCTTTAGATCATGAAAATACTGAATGGTAGACCTGACAGGAGCTGTTGTTTGTACAGTGGTACCCCTACTTACACACACCTCTGGTTACGTATCCTCTGGGATGTTAGGAGCTTGTCCTACACTCGAGTAGGACCCTGGCAGAGACACATGCCCGACTGGCATGTTCTCTCCCTCCTGGTTGTTTGTTCAGGAGCTTCAAAAGCTTTCGTCTGACCGAACATCACAGCGACCAATGCCAACAGACATCAGCACACTTAGGGATCCACAGGGTCTTCGCAGCTTGCGTAACAGACCTCAGCAACTCAGCATTTTGGCTAATCTACTTTATTTACATATAAACACACACGGAGCACTGCAACATGGCTCCCTTTCTCTCTACCATCAGACAGCAAAGAGAAAGAACAAAGGACAATAGTCCCACTTCATGAAACACAGTAACTAACACAAACATCCTGTCTCCTTCACTTCCCACTCTGTGGAGTCAAAACATACACCATCATGTGATAGACAACAATCCCATGACTGCAATCATGGAGCAGAATTCTAACATGGGATACACATGCGGCAAACCTGGAAGTATTTTTCTGGGTTTTGCTGCACGCTTATGCGCAGAAGCGCTTTGCACAGAACAGACACCTCCAGTAGCAAAAAACCTCGGGATCTGGAACAGATTCCGCCTGCAACCAGAGGTACCACTGTATACCACTCTTCTAAGCAGAGGCTGGTGGTGGCAGTAGTAGATAGCCAAGTTTGGTTTTCTTTAGCAGATGAGATTGCTGGAGAGGCCTTTCTATCGCATTTTGTTTTGTTTTGTTGTGTTACATATATACTAGTGGAGGAAGATAACGTAAACATTTTAACAGAGAATGCCCACTGCAGTCCCATCAGAGCAAGGCATTCCTGCATCCCATATGCTTTTGCCTTGCAGAGCTCAAAACTCAGCTCAGCTCTCTCTGCCTGTTTTTCAAACTGACAGCTTGGGTTTTTTCTATCTCACACATAGATCTTGCTCACACCATTTCATCATTCTTAGCTGTGTGGGTGGGGTTGCACTTATTCCAAAATGGCTCTCACCTTCCGGAGTCATCCCCAGCTAGTGGGCTAGTGTTTGGGGGATAAGGAAGTTGAGAAAGAATATGCAAACATCTTTGAAAGGTCCTTGGTAGAGTAAAGCACTGCTTTAATAGCTCTGAGGCTCAACTGCAACCAAAAGGCCAGGCCAGTTTTGAAAGGTTCATTCTGACATTTTGATTCAAAATGGTATGCAAACAGAGGAAAATGGCACACAAACAGTGGGAATCCTTCTCTTTGACCCCAGGAACCAAAATTTCTTTACAATATCTTAAGAGATGTCCTAATGCACAGCAAACAAACAACTTCCCAAAGTAGCAGATTAGAATTGCTAGTCCTTGTTATGTCAAATTTGTAATCTGCACCCTATACGGCTAACTTTCTTTTCCTTTTTTGCTTCCTTAGAGTACTCTGGGGTTTGGCAGTCCCACTGTGTCATCACTACAGTCCCAAGACAAGGTGGAAACAATGACTCACCCAACCAAGCATTCTCTCCAATTATTCCACAGCTTCCATTTCCCCTTTTCCATTAGTCATATTACGACTATGATTATTTAGCAACTTTTCCACAAATCACTCTAGGCTGGTGCTGGCTGGGGTGTCTTCCCTCCTTTTTCTTTCTTTTCCTTCATGAGTAGCATAAACATCTGCTGCTTTTTTAACCAGAACAGCTCCAGACTAGAGAAATAAGCCTATCTAGCCCATTTCAGAAATAGCACTCCTTTATAATTATGAAAGTAATAATCATGAGGCCTGTCCAACAGCTGCCACACATTTCTTTTAAAAAAGCAGAAAATTATTATGTTGCTGGGAACTTCACAAAAATCAGCCAGTTAACTGTGGTGATAGTGAGAGCCATAATGAGGGCTTTATGTAGAATAATAAAACACCTGAAAAAACAGATGAGAACTGTACATATTGTGATTATATGATCCCCCCACCCCCGCTGCCTTTGGTGTGTCATTTGTGTGGGTTTTGGGGTTTTTTGTGTGTAAGCAAGGCTAGACACATGTGTTCCAATAGAAAGGTGCATATGTTCTGACCGGGTCTTTTCTACATCCTTTCAAAATATAAATATCAAATGTTCATTTACACTGGGATTAGTTCTGCACCCAGGCACAGAGGGCACAGCCCGCTTTGCTTTTCATGTTAACTGAGCTCCTGTTGAGAGGAGCTACAACATGTCTAAGGACAAAGTATTATTTGTTGTTGCTGTATGTAAGGACATGCTGCAGCATCGATTCCATTGCCTTTTTCGTGGACTTGGCTCCTTGCACTTCCGCTCTTTCAAGGGAAGGGTGCAGGCAGTCTCCCCCTGTACAAGTGGAACTTTCCACAGGGAGCTAAGCCATTTGAAGACGTCATCACAATTCCTCAGGCATGCATGCTACATGCATTATTTCAGTGGTGTGGCTAGCTGCCTCAAAAATAGCACTTATACACGATGCAGCTCCATTTGAATGTCTTAACGTGTACACAGGGTTTTGCGATGTTGTACAGAAAGAGACCTCGCCAGTATCAGAGCACATGCACATGCCTTAACATGAATGGCAGGGGTAGCCAATATGAAGCCCCCCGCCCCAAAGCTTTGAACTACAAATCCCATCATTTCTCACCATTGGCTATGCTGAATGGGGCTTATGGGAATTGTAGTCTAAAACATCTGCAGTGTTAGGTCAGTTTGAAGATTATTTTATCTAAAAATGCTGAGATTCCTGGGTGAAGACTGCATTTTTGTGTTTGTGTGTGGGGGGTGTAACACCAGAGTACAAAACATTCCCATGCCACCAGCTTCATCTGAAGTGCCTACAAAAGGTAGATGCCACATAGTGCTGGTTTTCTTCACATGTTGACCTTGCAGTTTCTCAGTAATTCAGCCATCATGGGTCATGCATCAGTGCTGTGTGGCCTGCAGAGGTGCAGTGCTGTCAAAGATGGGACATTGGTCTCCAGCTCTTGCCCCACCCAGCATGGTCAATGGCCAGGAGTGATAGGCATGTCAGCTACTGGATATGAGCCACCCATGCTGAAAATGAACAGAATAGCGAAGACAAGCAGCACAATCCTGTCCATGTTTACCCAGAAGTAAGCCCCATTGATGCGTGGGACGCGGGTGGCGCTGTGGGTTAAACCACAGAGCCTAGGACTTGCTGATCAGAAGGTTGGCGGTTCGAATCCCCATGACGGGGTGAGCTCCCGTTGCTTGGTCCCTGCTCCTGCCAACCTAGCAGTTCGAAAGCACCTCAAAGTGCAAGTAGATAAATAGGTACCGCTCCGGTGGGAAGGTAAACGGCATTTCCGTGTGCTGCTCTGCTTCGCCAGAAGTGGCTTAGTCATGCTGGCCTCATGACCCGGAAGCTGTACGCTGGCTCCCTCGGCCAATAAAGTGAGATGAACGCCGCAACCCCAGAGGCTGCCACGACTGGACCTAATGGTCAGGGGTCCCTTTACCTTTACTAAGCCCCATTGAATTCTGTGGGTGGGATTCCTGCCTAAAGGAGGACTTGGAAGGTGTTGTTTTTCCTCATTTCCACCACCAATTTAACAGACACATTAGAATCCCCTACAGGTGTAAATGGAAAATGATCACATTTTAAATTACATGACATTGATGAGAATAAAAGCAAGAAACAATTTGGTTCCACTTTTGAACATGATCGGGCTGCCTAAGGGCAACTGGGAATAGACATAGGGTGGGCAGGAAGAGAGTTGGGGAAATAGTGTGGGGTCAAACCCCCTCCCCAATGAATGCCTTAGCATCACTTGTCCAGATGCACACTTAGCATGCTCAACAGGTCCCAGCTCAGTCCCAGCTGCTCGGAAGCTGCAGAAGGAAGGAGAGAGAGGGAGTAGGAGGAAATAAGTAGGTGGAATGATTTCTCTGTGTTTCTGCTTGTGTCAGGGTGGGAGAGGAGGCAAGGGAAGTGTTTCCTCTGCTCCATCCCCTCCACTAAAAGGTCATAAGAACATAATATGTGTGTGAGCATCTATTGGATTTGGGGGGGGGGGCAAATGGACTCCTGTTGCGCTTCCTTGCATCTTACCACATGGTGCAGTGTGCATGGGTATGTCTGTGTGCAGGACAGTGGGTAGTAGTGCATATGTACATGGAAGTGTGTGTTGATGCAGGAGACATTATTCTCTCATTCCACTCCTCCCTCTTATTTATTAAGGGCCTAAATTATTTGCAGCATGCAATCAATGCAGAACAATAACACTGTCCATTGGCTTGCAATTAAAATAAACGTTTGGTAGTCTCATTAATTTTATTCAGAAAGAGTTTTAAGCTGTGTAACCAAAGAGCTCTCAGAGCAGTGTACATTGTACAGCTGTAGATGAAGCACGGTTAGAATTCACAAAGCCCTTAAGAAAGAAGCATACATAAAACAACTTTAATTAAACACTGGGGGGGGGGGCACCAGAATTTAAAAAATCACATATAGAGAACTGGGTAGGCTTCCTGAATTTTTTTAAAAGGTTTCTGCAGATGTTTAAAACAATGTGGTGGAGGAACCTTCCTAATAACAGGAAGTTCTAAAGCGCAAGTTTTGCCGTAACACAACCATGGCACCCATGCTTAAACAGCAATTTGGTCTGCAGATGCTAGCAGATGATAGCATTTATTTTCATGCTGCAAAGAGGTTCATCTCCTGATTTCTGCAAATGAATCAGCAGTTAAAAGTACAGGAGGAGTCACACCCATATCTGGCCAGTTGGCCACCAACCACTTGGATGGTTTTTCTTAAGGTTGGCCGAATGCCTCCACTCTTTGAGCCTGGGTGTCAGATGCGATAGTTAGCACATCCCTGTGAGTCCCAAATGGCGGGCTCCCCCGCCCCTTCAATATATTTAGCCTTCACAACTCTGGATGTTTGCTTAGACTTAGAGATATAAAAGCAGTGTTTGATCAAGGATCTTGGACTTCAGGGAATTCTAACGGACTGTGCAAGAGCCATTTTTCACTTTGCGGTTATCTGTCCTTATGGAATCTAGTCCCAGATTTCCTGCAGTGGTGACCAGAGATGCCATAGAAAATGAAACCCCCCGTATCCTTAATAGTTGTGCAGATCAGAGAATTTCAGCAGAGGCCATTTTCCTCTGTGGCACCAGAGCATGACAAGCTGCCCCGTGTCTGAAATACACTTTCTGCGTCTGCATTCATTCCCACCTGTATTTCCATTTCTATTCTGGGATTGCTATTGCATCGTAAAAGGCACATGAAGTAGCCACATAAAGCATCTCAGCTTCTCTTGCTTAAGCCTGTGTATATAAATAGATTTTCAGTGTGATTAAAACAAAAATTGCAAATTATTTTTCTATTGAGAGATTTAAATTGTTGTACTTCTGATTGGGGCCAGTGCTACCATTTGGCAGAGGGAGCCAGCTACCCCAGGCATCAAATGCTGATGGGCAGAAAGTGGTGGTGAGGTGTTGGCAGACAGGCTGAGTTTGCCACTTGGTCTGCCCCACACCTCCTAAGCTAGCCTGCTGCCTCCAGGCACAGTGGATAATGTTGCCTGTGATGAAGTAAGATTCATGGATGATATCTTGTTATTTGCCTCAAGCGGCAAGATGTCTTGGGCTGACTCCTTTCCAGGCACTCCTTTGCTTGTTCATATGTGCAATACTTCTGCTTTCAAGGTGTGAACTCTTTGTGGCCATTGAAACATCCAGAATGTCTCTTGAGGTATGTCAAATTCTGTGGAATAATATGTGGTCACTGTTCTCCACCCTCCTCCCCATCCAAAGCAATCTATGATATTTATGAATTTTATGGGTGAATAAATTTGTTTATTAATTGCCATGGATTCAGATTCTTTTCTATGATGTGTATATGGAAGTATAGCAGTATGAACATATCAACATGCTTTTTGTGTGATTTTTCATTACCATACTTCTAGAGGGCTGCCTCAAATTCTTAACATCATGAATAGTGTCACTTCTGCATACACAATATATATTTAGAACACATTCCACACACATCCCCAATGAATCCTGGAAACTCCTTGGGGCTGAGGTCCCTTCGGCCCCTCCCAAAAAATATTTGAGGGGCTGCCCCCCCAAGCTAATGGGCATTGCCATTCAAATGGTGTGCATACGCAACATCTTGTGATAGATTATGCGGGCTGGGGGCTTACCTGGCCCTCGTATTTTATTCAAGTTGGCACCCCTGCTGGAAACTGTAGCTTGCCCCTCACAGAGCTAAAATGCCCAGCAGCCTCAACAAACAACGGTTCCTGGAATTATTGGGGTGGGAAAATATGCCTTAAATGTCTGGTGTGCAAGCAACCCAAGCCATCATGAATTGCATCGTTGCTGCAATTTTCGCCCAGTGAATCACACAGAAGTGTACAGCATCAGTGGTACCCATCTCCTGGATTCCCCCAGCCCACTCTGTTTTCCAGACTGTGATCCACTCCCTTTTAAAGCTGAAACTATCTAACAGCAATGGGTTTCGCAATTACGGAGCTCATATGCACAGGCAATATTGACATTTGCATACTGCATACAAAATCCAAGCGGTGTAGCATTAAGGTATGCAGCCTCCGTTACTTTCAACCCGGCAATAGTTTTGGAAGGTTTACAAGAGATCAGGTTAAATTGCTCAAGGGGCTTACACATGGTCTACTGGCTGCCAGTTAGTCATCCCTGAGGTAGTCCAACCAGCTGCCAAAGTTCAAAGCCTTTTGTGCAGATCTGTGACGTGTCCACAGTGCACTCTTGGGTGGACATGCTGAGTTCTTGGCTTCTTTGCCACATTTTTGTTTTTTAAAAACCATGTAGATAATAAATTAGCAATCTGAGTTTCAATCAGGTTCCCAACAATTAGCGATGCTGCAGCAGCAACAGCTGGTAACTGGATGGTCCCGAAAACATCTCAGTGGGATATTTTCTTTTATA